ATTGAGAAAGAAATTATGAGTTTTCTAAAGTATTCTAAAATAAGGGGTGGAGAGGTGTCTTCTCTTATTTTTAAAATTAGTATATGTGCATGATATATGTGTGAGCACACATGTGCTATGACATGCTCGTGGAGGTCATAGGATAATTCTATGGAGTCAGGTGGCTTCTACCTTTATATATGTTCTGGCATCAAACTCAGGTCACCAGGCTTATAAGGCAAATGTCTTTACCCACCTCACCACTTCCCCAGCCCACTTTCCCTATTTTTAACAAGGAAAATTAAGCCTTTTATTTTAAAATGTGTTACCTTTAAACCTTTCACACTCTTTTCTTTTCCCTCTGTCTCTCATGTCCTCTAATACATCAGTTTCCCTATCTCTTAAGTCCATAACCCCCCTTCCTCAAGTTACACGTATCCACCTGCCCTTTAGCACCCCTCTTCTCTCCCTGCACTCTCTGTTCCCTCTGCCTGTGTCCTTGATCCCTCACCTCTCAAGAGAAATGTGTTTTCACTGCAGGAGGGCAGTGTCAAAGGGCTGGTCTCTGCCTTTTGGGAGAAAAATGTTTACTTTCTTATGCTGCTGAGATGCCCAGTAAATAGCTTGTTTGTCTGTTCTTTTGTTTATTTCTCAGAGTCATGGCCACAGAGCTCTGGAACCACACCACCCCATCTGGCTTCATCCTCACAGGCTTGTTCAGCCACTCACCTTATGACTCCTTCCTGTTCTCCTTGGTTCTTCTGGCCTTTGCTGTTGCTCTGGCTGGCAACATCCTCCTCCTAATGCTCATCCAGGCTGACAGACACTTGCATACCCCTATGTATTTCTTCCTCAGTCATCTTTCCATCATGGACTTGGCTCTGACATGCACGGTGGTGCCCAAGATGGCGGGCAACTTTCTCTCAGGTCAGAAGTTCATCTCCCTTGGAGGCTGTGCATCTCAGATCTTCCTGGTGGTTATGGTAGGAGGAGCCGAGTGCCTCCTCTTGGCAGTCATGGCCTATGACAGGTACATGGCAGTCTGCCACCCCCTGCGGTACCCTGTGCTCATGAACTGGAAGGCCTGCTCTTTCCTTGCCATGGCATCCTGGATGGGTGGGATGTCAGATGGTGTGATTGACGTGGGCATGGTCTTCAGCTTCCCCTACTGTAACTCGCTGGAGGTGGACCATTTCTTCTGTGAGGTCCCCTCCCTGTTGCGCCTCTCCTGTGCTGACACCTCACTGTTTGAGGACCTCATCTATGCATGCTGTGTGGTGATGCTTCTGCTGCCTCTTGGGGTCATTGTGGCTTCCTATGCCCGGGTCCTCACGGCTGTGATTAAAATGCCCTCCACAGAGGGGAAACAGAAGGCTCTCACCACTTGCTCCTCCCACCTGGCTGTGGTGGGCCTCTACTACAGGGGGACCATATTTGGCTATATGCAGCGTGCCTCAACTAGGACACCAGTGGGAGTCTGGGAAACTGCCGTCTTTTACACTATCCTCACCCCAATGTTCAACCCACTCATCTACAGCCTGAGGAACAAGGAGGTAACCAGGGCTCTGAGGAGGATGCTGGTGAGGTGGGGCGTGTAGCACCACCCTGACATACTTTATTCTTGTCTTGATCTGTCCCTGCCCCTGTCCAGGCTTCCCTGCTATTCCCATCCTTCCTTGGGCCTCTCTCTCTGTGCCTTCCTTGGGCCTCTCTGGCCAGTTAGGACAAGGTATTGAGCTGACTAATCTGCAGACATTTAGGATTCCTAGAAGGAAGATGAGAATAGATGGTACTTGGTAGCTTCACATGACCCTTCCCTCTCTGGGCACCACCATTTGAGCACTCAAAGCCCACCGTGAATATAAGAACCAGCATCTACATTGATAGGCACAGTCTTTCCTCTGGGCTATATTTTAGACTGGGGATGGCTCAGCTGTTAAAGTGCTTGCCTAGCACACACAAAGGCCTGGGTTCCATTTCCAGCGCCACATGAACAGGTATGGTGATGCATGCCTATAATTCTAGCACTTAGGAGGTTGAAGCAAAAGGATCAGAAGATGAAGGTCATCTCTGGCCACATAGTAAGTTCCAGGCCAGACTGGGCTACATGAAATCGTGTTTCAGTAAAAAGGGAAGTAAGGAAAGAAGGGAGAGAGAAAGAGAGAAAAGGAAGAAAAGGAACAGAGAACAGTAGCCTCTTGCACACGTAATAGTAGAGCCCACTTGTACATATAGTATGGTACACAGAGCTTGACTTACGTAGGAGTTCCGTGACCTGTGAATGTCATGTTCATCACCTGTACCAGCATAGTGACTGATAAAATCCAGTCCAATAGTTCTTGGCATTGACTAATAAGTAATTATTTTCTGTGAAACTCCTTTTTTGTATTACTATTAAGAAATACACCTTTTTTGCACCTTTCCACAGCTGTACTTTATTTTTTAATTTTATTACTTTATTATGTATGTGTGTTTGAGTGTGTGCAGGCACATGCATGCTATGGCACACCTGTGGAGGTCAGGGGACAACTTGCATGAGCTGCTTCTGTCCTTCCATTGTATGTTCCAAAGCATAAACTCTGGTCACCAGGTTTGCATGGCGAGGGGTTTCAGCCACTGAGCCATCTCGCTGGTTATATATATATATTTTTTTCTAAAATACGTAGTTTCACTATGTGGCCTAGGCTGGCCCTAGGCTCAAGGATCCTTTGAAATCATCGGGATTGATACCAGACAGCAGGACGTGTGACATGAAAATGGCAGAAATGAAACCAAGCCACACATTACAAGCGCTACAGCCAAGGCTGTATTGGGACAAAAGACTTCAGCAACAGCTGAAGGGAGAGGAAAGCGATCTGGACAAAAGGGAGGAACAAGCTTTTATGAACTTTCAGAGGGATGGGGTAAATTATGTTAACTGTCTATTGGTCATGGCCATGATTTCGAAAATTGTTTTTTCATCTTATGTGCAAGCATCCTGATCGTGTACTTGTGTGCCTGGCCAGGGGTTAGGGAGGGTATGAATGGGTTCAACTTCACCAGAAACTGTTGAGTTTCAGTTGGTGCCATTGTCTTATATAAACATCCTGGCTTTAAGATGGGACTGAAGGACTTAGAATGCTTGAGCTACCAAGAAAGCACAAGGTTGAGGTGGAGGAAACACATACCAGCTCCAATGGACAGAAGGCCAAGTTAGTTCTGTATTATAGCCCTGGATAGAATATCTTTCAAATGATCACTGTGTCCACATGCAGAGCTGAGTATGTTCTGACTCAAAAGTCTTGAGATGGCAGAGACAGACATGCTATAAAGTCAAACCTTTCATTCCAGTTCATCACCTGTCAGATATCTACAAGTGAAGAATCACTGTGTTTAACAAAAGCAGCCCTTAAGTTTCTGTGAACTGACCTAGGCAACTGTCATTAAAATTCACATATGAGAAATATTTCTGTGGTGAAGCTAGTGGGCAGCTAACAATTCGTTGCTCACCTGTTATGTAAACATTCTTGCCTTGTGATCTAATCTGGTGTTTTATAGCAAAGTTGTTGAGAAAGTACAGGATGGAAGAAGAAAACATAATATGTTTTTAAAGTGTAACAAGTTAGAATTTATTTTTTTCACACTGGAGTGGTCCCTGTTTCAGACTACAGACACTTGCCTCTATGTCTGGCTTTGCTCTTTTATTATTATTTATTTATTCATTCATTTATTCACTCATTCATTCATTGATCATTCATTTTTGTTGTTTTGGGGACTGAATTCATGGCCTTACACATGATAGGCAAGTGCTCTATCAGTGAGCTACATCCCCCATCTGGGCTTTGTACCTTAAACAGCAATATCAAAGGGTATAAAAGTTAAGATAACAAGATGCTATTGATTGATAGATTGATTTTGATCTTCAGCTTTCTGGAGGCATAATGAACACATAAATATATTCAAGGTATATAAAGGAATGTTTTAATATGTGTACACATTGTGAAACAATTGTCACAGAATGTGGCAGTCTCAGACATCCCAAGTGTAGGCTGTGAGAGGTACAAAGGTTATAAGTGCCTCCCATTCACAGAGTGCTTCTTTATCATTGAAACCAAACATGGAACAGAAGTAAGGACAGACCACTGTACCCAGCTGATCTGTCCTGTTTAAATTAAAACTACTTGGGCTGCTGTATCAGATACATAGGGAAGTTCCTATAGTAATTTGGATGAGAGATGATGGGTAGAAACAAAGAAAGTGGCCAGATGGTATGATGGGGCCACACCAGGCAGGAATTGGCTTTTTGTTTGTTTGAGTTTTGATTTTTATAGGTGCTTTATATGGTTTAGTTTTGTTTTGAGACAGTTCCTTGTGTCTTTTTGGCTAGCCTCAAATTCTCTATGTAGTAAACAATGGCCTTAAACTCCTGATCTTTCTACCTCTCCTCCTATGTGCTGGGATTAATCATGGACCATTACACTTGCACAAGCACAAGAGACTTCTTCTGTCAAGAGACCTCCATCAATCTTCTGGAAGTCTATGGTATGTCAGATACCGTGTAGCGCATCCTTCACATACATAATGGTGAAGGAGCCAGCATGGTCCAGCCCTTACGGAGTTTAGACTTTGGACAAGGATTCAAAGTGCTCTGGATAGAAGAAACAGCTGAAAACTAGTTCTAGAGTGGAGAGATAGGAGAGACAGAGGCAGAGACAGAGAGACAGATGCAGAGACAGAGACAGAGAGAGCCAGACAGATGGAACCAGGCCCACCTCCTGTAGCTCCTGATAAACTAATGTGAGGAATTAGTTTTGAACAAGAGGAGAGATAGAACTGACCTTGGGTTTTTTGTTTGCTTTGCTTTTGATTGATTTTGGGTTTGAAGTTTTGAGTCAGGGACCCATTATGTAGCCCTGGCTGGCATCAATCTTACTATACTACCAAATTCTGGGATTACAGGTGTGTACCACTTTACCCAGTTGATCTGTTTTAATAAAACCACTTGGGCTGCTGTATAGGACATATAGGGAAGTTCCTGTAGTAATTTGGATGAGAGGTGATGGGTAGAAACAAAGAAAGTAGCCAGAAATGGACAGGTTCTGGATACACTTTGAAGTTCAAACTATGAGGATTTTCTACCTTATTGTCAAGGGCTGGTGGGGGGTGGGGGGGATGGAGCAGCATTAGTAGGGAACATTTAAAATAGAATGGGGTGATCTGCATTTTGTTCATTTGTTTGTTTGTTTTTATATGATCCTGGGTATCAAACTCAGCACCTCATAGTGCACTAGCACTGAGCTACATCTCCAGCCCAGGGAAGAAGCATTCATTAATCATATCCTAGTCATATACACAGCTGAACCTCTGAACCAGGCTGCAGGCATACCCACCCATTGATGTGAGTTGACCTATAAAACACAGTTAACCTCTGCTGATCTTTAGTACATTGGATCCCTTCCCCAGAACTACCCAGAGATTGACACAGCGCCCAATCCCTTCACGAAACAGTTTAACAGTTGCCAGTCCCAATCCTGATTAACAACCGTTATAATTTCCAAACTTCACTGTAGCTTAAAGCTGTAAATGTAGCAGTCACTTGGTAAAACCTGAAAGCACATAATCAAGAGTGTTTGAATCGGCATCTTCTGAACTGTGTTCCTAATGTTATGTAGCTAGTTAGAAATCAGCAGGCTTGAAGGTCATTGAGAATGAACCCCTCCCTTACAATCAGCTTGGGACCCCACCCTCCTAGTATTGTTGGGGGTGGGTATGATCACAATGTATTGTATACATATATGAAATTCTCAAAAAATGAATTATTTAAAAAAACCCAAGGGCTAGAGAGATGCTCAGTCAGTAAAGTGCTTGCTATGCAAGCCTGCAGCCCTGAGTTCATAACCCTAGCACCCACTTTTTGAAAAGCTGGGCATGGTGGCACACGTCCGTAATCCCAGAAGTGGAGAAGTGGAGACAGGTAGATCCCTGTAGCTCTCCAGCTATCTAGTCTAGCCAAATCAATGACCTCAAGGTTCGGTGAGAAATCCTATCTCAAAAAAGATGGTAGAGGTGCTGGAGAGATGGCTCCATGGTTAAGAGTACTGACTATTTCTTCAGAGAATCCTGGTTTGGTTCCCAGCATTCAATGGCAGCTAACAACCATTTGTAACTTCAGTTCTAGGGAATCTGATGCCCTCTTTTGACCTCCTCAGGCATTGCATGCACACAGTGTACTTACATACATACAGGCAAAACACTCATACACATAAAATAAAAATAAATGCATTTTTAAAAAGATGGAAGAAAGAGATTGAGAATGACCCCCAACATTAACTTCTGGCCTACTTGCACATGCACATGGCCAGGAACATTCTCCCACACTGAAATCAGGAAACCAATATTCACCCATTATTGCTATCTAACCCACAAAGTTTTTTCACAATATTTTTTTCTCCCCAATAGTACTTTTTATAGGTCCAAGATATAGTGGATTTAGTTGTCATGTTTCTTTAATCCCCTTCAGTCTGAAACTGTCCCTTAAACTTGCCTTGTCATTTCTAACCTTAACATCAGCTTGTCTGATGTTTCCACATGATATATTGGGTGCAAGTATACCTCAAAAGTAATGTTATTCAGAGGATTTCAGGCCACTGGAAGCTTGCTCATGTGAATTTGTGGCAATGGTGGCATTCAGCACAAGACTCAAACAAGGGCCCAGGGCGGAGAGAGGGAAATGGGCATCAGGCCAGCCCTAGCCTAGGAGACTGATTACTGCTAGGTGAGGGAGAGTAGACTTTCCTTATGATCTCAAGATAGGCTGAATAGACTCCAGGGGATGAAATTGCACTGAAGGGCATCTGGGTACGCATGCTTGACTGGCTGGGACTTAACATGTATGGCAGAATACTGAGGACCAGTGGGGGTGTGTATGGGTGGGTAGGGGTTCTAAATTTGATTGAGAACTGTTGTATGACATGTACAAAAGCTCAATAAAAATATTTTAAGGTGATATTATTATGTTCTTTTTATTGCATTTTACTAGTGGTATACATAATGTAAAATTATTTCACATCTAGTGATATTAACTTTTGTGACTTGAAGATGATGTCTTTAAAATTCTTCTACTACAGGGATAATCGATGGTTTTGTAATGAAAATTAGAAGTGAACAATGAGTTATTCTAGGAAGATATTTTGTGATGCTTATTGTAAGATAGAGCTTTTCATGCTCCCTTATTTATTCATGCATATCTACATCTGTATCTACATACCTCAATATCAATAAATAGATATCAATAAATAGATAGAATGATGATAGACTTGTGTATTCCTATTTTACTCAAAGGGTTATGATCTATAACTTCCATTTATTACTTTGATGTTTAGATTTGGCCATGGGAAGTGTTTTTGAACTCTTCTGTGCAATTGATAGTTCATTTGTATTTTCTGATGCAAGATATATAAGATCCTTCTTGTATTTTCCCTGCCCTACTCTGGTGTCATCCATTCCTCCAACAAACCTTAGTTCCTTTGTGGTGGTTTCAATGAAAATGTCCCTCATAGGCTCCAAGTATTTGGGCATTTTGTCCCCAGTTGGTGCTGCTGTTTTGGGAGGTTTTAGAAGGTATGGCCATGCTGATGGAAGCTCATCACTGGGGGTGGGCTTACAGAGTTCTTAAGCCTTGCCCCATTTCCAGTCACACTCTGCTTCCTGTGCCTGCTTGAAGATGTGAGAGCTTAGCTTCTGCTCCTACTCCAGTCACCTCTGCCATGATGCCTCCCCACCATGGTGGACTCTTGCCCCTTTGGAACCGAAAGCTAAATAAACTCTTCCTTTTTATTGTTTCAGTCAGTATTTCTATCACAGCTACAGAAAAGTGACGGATACAGAGTGACTAATACATCCTTCTAGTAGGAAGCAATACTTTTAGTAGAAAGCCAGGTTCTAAGTGCTAGGCGAGCATTCTAATACTGGGACATGGCTATTTATAGGCCCTTGGAGCAGACAGAGCTAAAAACATGTATGCACAGTCTGTCTCATGTCTATCTTCTACCCACTCACCCATGATGCTTGTGTTCCATCTATGTATACATAGTAAACACTATGTTCACACTCCTACCTCTAGTACAGTCTTCCACAGAGTGAGTTGGTAATTCTTTCCTTTCCCCCTTCTGCATCTTCTTCCTCTGATCAAGAAATATGACTCTCCAGCTTTTTAAATGGTATGTCCCCTGGTAGGGTGACTATGCTCCAGTGGGTGGTCCTACACCCAAGAGTATATGGGCAGCACAAACTGGACTTGTTGGGTCATTAAGAAAAAAAGAGGGCAGGAAGTTGAGGGGTATGGCCGTTGGGGTATGGGGTAGATTTGGGAGGAGTTAGGAGGAGGACCAGGAGTGAATATTATCAAAACATATTGTATGAAATTCTCAAAGACTTCATAAAATATTGACTATATATATGAAGAAAGAAACCTGACTCTCAGCACTCCTAGTGAGTTTTCTTATATGCCCAACCTTTCCCACATGTAACAAACTTCTGGGCCCCAAACTGAGCCCCAGTCATTCCAGCCCCTTTCTGTCCCTGGACTGGTGGAAATCTCAGGTCCCATGAAGAAGAAGACAAAAGAGGAAGGAAATCTTGGCTGCAAACACTCCACACTGAGCTCCCCAACCCAGCCTTGTCATTGCCACTAGTGATTTTCAAGTTCAAATTGTCCCATAGCCAGTAAGGAAAATCACTCCAAACTGCACTTTTTTTTTTTTTTGCTTTTTCATATATCCTTTTATTTTTTTAAAACATTTATATTTATTACTTTAATTGACAAATGAAAATTGTATATATTTATGGTGTACAACACATTTTGTATATACTTGGAATTGTTAAACCAAGTTTATCAGCATATAAATTACCTCATCTACTTTCAGTGGTGATTTTAAGTTTGCACTACATTTTAAAATTCAGTCCCCATTTTGCACAAAAGAGTTGAACTTATCCTCCTACCCATCAATTTCTAAGGACTGATTCTTTTTTGTTTTATAGGGCAAGATGAACCAAGCTTTTCGCTTTCCCTGTCCCAGTTCTTAGACATTTTACCAACTTTGTATCAGTAGGAAATAGTATTTAAAGCTGGCCGTCGTGACGCACGCCTTTAATCTCAGCACTTGGGAGACAGAGCAGGTGGATCTCTGTGCGATCTAGGGCAGCTCCAGGCCAGCTGAGGGCTACAGGGAGACTTGGTCTCAAAAAAAAAAAAAGTATTTAAAACTCAGATCTGAGCCATGAATGAACTCTGTGGTTATGAAATATTATTACTTACAAACTTTTGTAGAACTGGCAAAAATATACAAAACTGTACAAAGTAGCTGATGCTTCTAATCCAATACAACGTTTCTCCCCTTTTTCCCAACACTGATTTCTTTCCCATCTTCCACAGCGCACACGCCAGTTGCTGGCAGCAGCGATGAACATTTTATTCAGTCCCGGAATCCTGCAACACACAAGCCAGTTTGGAATTGCCTAGTTTACTTGGAGTTATACACACATCTACACAGGCAAAAGTCCCTCTCTTCGTCCCCCTCGGGCCATGCTGAGCCTTTAGGCTTTGCTGACATTTTGGTGGATTCCTTTATTGGCTCCAGAAGATCCAGGAGAGCAAAATGCTGTCTCGCGTGGGTGTCCAGGACGATGGCCTGACCCGGCCATGCGGTCAAGAGGGCGCATCACCACAGGCCCAGGGCGGGGTCCGAGACCTCATAGGGCTGTAACCAGGTGTCACTGTCGTTCTCTTCGAGGGCATGTTGCCCTCTCACCGGCAAAGAGCAGATGGTCAGGGGGTCGGGGTGTTCGCTGCCATCGTGGGCTCGGGGCCTGAAGTACGCGCAGAGCGCCCCGGAGGCGGAGAGGGTGTCGGTGAAGGTGAAGATGTGGGAGCCGTCGGACGCGTTGAAGAAGGACAGCTTCCCCGCGTCGCAGTCCAGCAGGACGCCCACCCTCCGGGGAGGCACGCGGAGCGTGAGCGCCACGCGGTGCGGGTCCAGGACGAAGTACTCGCAGCTGTTCCACAGCCCCATCACCCAGTAGCCGCTGGCTGGGCTCAGGCGCGCGGTCTCCGAGCGCGGCGCGGACGCCAGACAAGCGCCCAGGAACCAGCGGCTGCGGCGGCCCACGTGCACCTCCCAGTAGTGGCGGCCGCTGGCAAAGTGCTGGCGGCTCAGCACGCACGTCTGCTCAGAGAAGCGCCGCGGGTCCCCCGGGTCAGCGTTGGACGCCCGAAGACGCGAAGACGCGCTCTTGCAGTCGGCAGAGACCTCGAGGCTGGGGTGTGCTGTGTCCGGATCCAAAGTCACATCCACTGTGCAAAAGCGCAAGGTTAGTGCTAGCTGAGGATGGTTCTGGAACCTCTTTGCCCTCCCTGGAAAAGCTCTGGTTCTCCAGGTGGAACAGTTGGTGGAGCGTCACTCGAACTCCACTCTGACAAGCACCCTCTTCCTGCATGTCTCGCAAAGTGGCATGCTACTTGCTCCCAAACCCTGTTCCTTTCCTAACTCGTTCCTGGGAAATGGGAAAAATTCCTGATTCCCATGCTTGGTAACAGAGGGAAGAGACTGCAGATGTGGTAAGTTGCTAGGGATGGCGCCAAAGTCTTGGGCAATGAAAAGTCGCTATTAGCTGCCTCGTTTCCTGCTGGTCCCAACGCTCTGCCTGAACTTGAGCTCATCCTGTGAACGCTGTGCCTCCGTTTTATAGCAACTGGGCATCCTTAAAATTGAAGGAACCTCTGAGATCGTATAGACCAATGGTTTACATTCCCCCAAACATATACACTTGCTGCCCGTGAGGAACTGGAGGATTCCCAAGCGCCTTTCTCCCCACCCCTTTTTGGGGACAGAATCTTCCTATGTGGCCCAGATTGATCTTGAACTCATGATCCTCCTGCCTCAGCCTCTGGAGTGCTGGGATTACAGATGTGCCCCCACCATGCCTGCCTGAGGAGCCTTCTGAGAAAAGATCTGAGAGAATCCATTTTCCCATTCTGCCTTTTGTCCTGTAAACAGGTCCAGGAAGCAGCCTTTCTGCCTTGGAAAATGAACCTGGTAAAACCCAGAAAGCTCCATCTCCTCTCCTCTCCACCCCCGCCCTTCTCTGGGGAACATGCGTGTGTGTACATGGATATGTGTACACATGTGGGTGAATGTGTTGTCTTATGTGTATATAAGTGTGCTTGTGTCCAGGCTCTGAATTTGGCTCTTGAAAGACCCTTATTCTAATCTCAGATCCCTTTCAGCCCTTTCTGTGTAAGAACCACATCACAAATCAGTTAGAAGCTTCAGTAATTACCTGCATGCTGCTGGGCTGCTCTCCACTCTAAAAGCAAACAGAAAGAAAAAGGAACTCAGAGAGCTCAGGCATCTGATGCACAAGAACTGCCCACAAATTAAATAACCTCCTCCCCAGCACTGGTTTGGATTGGGCAGGGGTCTAACAGCAGTGCTGGATTCTACCAAAGCTGTGTGCAGGCTAAAGTAATGTTGAGAGAATGGAGCACCAGGACAAAAACCAACATACGCATTCTGGATGGCATGAAGGATGAAAATGAAACCTCTACCTCTACCTGGCCACACTCAGTCCTAGAGACCCAGCTGAGCTGGGCTCTGTGTAAAGATGCCTTCTAGACATCCCTAATGTGAGCTGTTCCCTTCATGTGAGCCATTCTGAGTAGATTTCTGTTTGGTGTTTTCTTGCTCTGTTTTGCCATAGAGTTGACCAAAAACAGTAGAGGACATTTTCGAGTTCCATGCATTCAACCCTAGTTTTGCATCAGTAGAACTTTCCATATACATAGCTCCTGCATCTAATAGGTTAGTTCTATGGAATGCTGGCTGTTTCGATATTGATTTGCCTATAAATTCAAAACCATTCGTGCAAATCAACTTCTTGGTTTTGAAAGGAACTTTATAAATTTATCTTATAATTTATATTGTAAAACGGCCCATTAACTTAAAAAATGACATACATGTACGGAAGGAAAATCTGAACTTTCAGATGCTATAGAAGCCATAGCAGTGGAAAACAGCAAGTCAGAAGGGTAAGTCATACACAGGCCCATCTAGGCACAGGGACTGAACATCGCACTTAGTTTTCCCCTCGATGGGAAAATTGTGGACAGTGCACTAGATGGGGCTGAGAAAACTGTCTCAGGGCACACAGAAAAGCCGCTGGATCCTGACCTCTCATCCAGAAAATGGTGAATTCTATAGGGCCAATGACCTATACATAAAATGCACTGCTGCAGTTTAGATCTGAAATGTTCCCCAGGGGCCCATGTTAAAGATTAGTCCTCAGTTCCACCATTTAAGATGCAGCCCAATTGGAAATCTGGTAATACAGGATGTGAGACCCTGGCCTCTCCTCTTTCTCTCTTTGCTTCCTGCCTACCATGAGACAAACAGCTTGCTCTACCTTAACACACTCCCTACTCACCCTCACATAGGCTGCCCTGCCATGGGCCCAAAGGCAGCAGAGCCAAATGTCCATGGATTACCTCTGAAATTGTAAGCCCAAGTAAACTTTTCTTCCTTATAAGTTAACTATATCAGGTATTGTGTGATAATAGCAGAAAGCTGAGCAGTACAATATAAATTAACTGAAGTGTAAGATGGTATCTTTGTGGCAAAGATCTTACTCAACAAAACTTTAAGAACATAAGCCATAAGGTAAAAGTTTGATTAATTATACTTTATCAAATATCCCTTCAATAAGGGGAACATGGATAAGACCAACAGCAGATGATCTAATGGAAAAAAGAATCTGTAACTTGATACCAATAATAATATACTAATTCATACACTAATAAGGATACATTTATACACATACCTACAACTAACATAGAGAGATGCTCAAATTTCTTAGTGTTCAGAGAGGTTCAACTAATAAACAATTAGAAAGCATTCATCTCCTGGGCTGGCCAACAGAAAGCTGGCTCATACAGGACGCGGGAATACAGAGCCTTCATGCATTGCTGATAGCAAGATGGCAGTTTCTGGAACTATCTATTTTATCTGTGGGTTAATCTCCCATGAGCTAGCAATTTCCCTTCCTAGTTAACCCTCCTAGAGAAACAGGGTGATTAGACAACCCACTTGAAGCCACTTACTCAATGTGTTTATGGTAGTGTGGAGTGACAGTGCCTGGCTAACGTGGAATGCTCAGGAGTAGAAAAAACAGACCCCACACACATGAGATGGATATTCAAACAGTGATGCATGCAAAAAGCAAGGGACAGCATGAAACTGTGTCATTTAAATAAAACTAAAATGCACATGACAAAGTAGAAATTCATGTTCTCAAGGATATATGCAAAGTAAAGAGACACATTACACTGCTGGCCTAGTGAAGGGACTATGGGCAGGTATGTATGAAGTATAAAAATAAATATTTCCATATATGGTAACATCACTACTTTAGCTCCTCAGGCAGTCTGAGGTTCAGGTAATTGTCATGTGTAACCAGGATTGGAATCAATACTTTCCTGTCTGTGTATTCTCAAGATAAAAATAAATATAAAAGTAAAACTGGGTTCTGACCTCCACCAAGTGACATAGATTACCATGTGCCATGTGGGGCACATAAGCTTGGCGTGGGAGCATCAGAGGGAGAAATACCGGGTATACAGAAAGTCCCCCACTAATGATATCAAAGCTACATGTGCTTATTAGACACCATGCTTTGAATTTTTGTCATTCCCCAAGCTGATGGTATGTGGTGTGTTACTCTCTGGAGATGTAGCTCCCAGCCAGCCACGTGGTCAGAAAGTGAACAGCCAACACTCTTCAGTGTGGTGGTGTTAATCTGTGATGTTTGGTAAGTTAGAAGGATTAAATGAATTTCCAACTTAGGGCATTTTTTAGGATGGGTTTAGTGAGATGTGACTCCATCGTGGGCAAGTCAGGGAGCCTAGGGAGAAAGAGTGGGAAAGAAAGAGGCTTCACTCACCAGCCTGGCCTTCCGTCCTTCTCCAGTCTGAAGCAGCAGAGGGAAGAGGGAATTAGAAGATCTGGGTATGGACACCACAGCTTTCCTGATCGCACATGACATCTTGTGCCACCCTTGCCCCATTCCCTGTCTCCCCACCCACACAGCTAGCAGAGCTGTAGCCTAGATGTCATACCTTATTTTGAGATGAGAAGATACATGGATAGCCAGGTTCAAGAGGGGACAGGAAGGAACACCACTTACCAAGCTCTGTTTGAAGTTTCTCTGTAAGGAAAACAGAGAGGAACATCAACCTTCAGGTGAGATTCCAAAGCTTCAAAGACTTTGCAAATAAGTTCCTTAGCCTTAAGCCCCTGCTAACTGTGACCCCATCCTTGACTCTGTGCTGCCCTATGCAAAGACGCCCATCCCCAGGATCCTGGTGCCTCATCCTATTCTTTATTCAAAGGAAGAAATCACTGGGCACTAAGCTGAGAAGGAAACCAGGTTTAGCGTTAAAGGGTCTCCACCCAAGTCTTTGGTCTGGTTGGAAGGGGCTCATTCATTCTGAAATATCAAGCTTTTCTGGGGGCTAAGGAGACAGTGGGAGTTGCACTTGAACACGCCCAGGCACAGATCACAGCCCATGGGGCTCTGGGGCATTTCCCAGGCAGTTCATTTAAAGGCTGGAAGCCTACATGTGAAGAATGCTGATTCTTTGCCACTGGGACGCATTCCTTCAAAGAATGCAAAGAACATGTTCAAAGAACATTCCTATTCTCTTCAAAAGTAAGCACCATTTGGAGTGGTAACTTTCTAGGTTGATTCAGACTGTGGTGTTAATGACTTACTACAGTAGTTTCCTTTGTTTGTTTGTTTTTCCCTGCAGGGTTCCATAGATTGTAAACTGCTTTCAGTTCTGGATGATGTTTTTCCAGGACAGTCAAATTTTGGTTCTCCAGGTTTTCTTGCCACCCATGGGAGCTTTCTCCACCTCCCCTGTGAGGTCACTCAACCTCTGTTTTTTAAAAAAATTTATTTTATTGGTTCCTTGAGAATTTCACACAAGGTGTTTTGATCATATTCAGACCTCCTTCCCCATCTTCACCTCCATCCTACCACCCCTCTCCCCGACGTCATGTCCTCTATTCTTGTTTTTGAAAGGCCTATCCAGTCTAACTTATAATCTTTAAAGCTCTTTGGTGTGGGTACATCCCTTGGAGCCTGGTCAGCCCACCTGGAATCATTCCCTTAAAGAAAACTGATTCTCCCTCTCCCAGTAGCTACCAATTGCCAGTAGTTCCTCGGCTAGGACTGAGGTCTTGCCTACCTCCTCCCATCTGTGCTGGGATTTTGTCTGGCTTGAGCTTGCATAGGGCTTGTGCATGCTGCCAAAATTGCCATGAGTTCATAAGTGCAACAACCCCACTGTCTGGAAAATCCCGTTTCCTTCCTTTGGTTTTTTGAGACAAGATCTCCTTATTTATCCCAGAATGGCCAGAATATAACAATTCTCTTTCATTGGCCTCCATAGTAGAGTGCTGGGATGGTGAGCGGGAACCAAGGTGCCCAGATTATTGGCCTTCCTTTATGCAGCCCCACCCGACCCCCATGCCCCATGGTTTCTAGTTAATGTGTTTCCACTGAGACCATGAATTTGCTAAAGTATTCCTATTTCAGTGAAGATTCAAGTGACATTTTTCTCACTGGCATTTGCATTAAGGAGAAGGGCTCTGTTAGAGGAAAATGAACCTGAGGGAGTAAATGGTTCTGGTTGGGTCTGTTCAGAGGTTCTAAGGTTGGACCCGAACACCTGGGCATCCCAAGCAGCCCAGTTCCATCCCATAGAGAAAGGAGAGGATGGGTTAAGAGCTAAACGGGTGCCACCCTTCTCTCCCCAAAAGGAACCTAAAGCCACTGAACACCTCTCTCTGCTCCAGAGATGATAGGTTACCCCCTTGGCAGCTGCACTGTGGTGAGGCCCATGGAACTTACCCAGCTGTGCAGTCAGTCTTCCTGGAGAAGGAAGGGAAAGAAGAAATTCTCAGGATGGGGAATGAGCCAGACAGGACTGATGATGAACAGGAGGCTTCACTCCCTGGAGGTGAGCACGTTCAGCCCTGTGCATCTGGGAGCACAGCCTGTGGCCTGGACAGTCAGTCCCAGCAAACTCCTCCCCCTTTCTTGTCCCCCCTCCAGGACTGGGGTCCTAGCCTTGGGAACCCAGCGGGTTCTTTGGCCCTGCTTGGGGATTTGGGATGGAGTGCACCTTCACCCACTTACCTAGGTCCTTCTCTCCCTGCTTCTTCAGCTTTTCTGAAAGGAAGAATAAAAGGGAAAGACTGGATAGGTACTTGCCTGTTTCTAGTTCCCACAGCACCCAGGTTCATTCCGCCACAGTGTCCCTTGACGCCCCCTCCAAGCCTTCCTACCCTGCAAAGCCAGCTCTAGGAGCCTGACTCATACCTTGGGAGCTTCGCTGCTTGTAAAAGTACTGCAACGCTAGCATTGTGAGGATCGCCAGGAGGAGTGGCAGGGTCACCAGAGTTCCCAGGAATGCTTTCTTCCAGGGGGATGTTCTGGGTAAAAATACGTCTGGAAAATACCCCACAGGAAGTTAGTTGTCTCAACTTGGGCGCCACTGACCTTGGGGTGGCCAGTTACACCTTCAGTGGGACCCCTAAAACCGTGTGTAAATGGGGCATGAGGACAGCTGCATGGCCTTCGCCAGGTAGGGTCAGGTGCAACGGCCAAGGACTTGGACTTGGTGAGCAGGGAAGGAAGTAGGGCTTTGAACTGAAGGAAGCAGAAGGGCAGGTGAGTCGGTCATCTCACAACCACTTGGAAGTCTCTGCGATCACAGCTCCATTTCTTCCTGATCTAATCCTACACTAGAAGGAATCCAGACATCAAACTGCTTTGTTTAACACCTGTAATGGCTTCAATGAACGGCCCCTCAGAGGCTCCACTTTGTCCCCAGTTGGTGGCACTGTGAGGAGGTCTGTCCTTGCTGGAGGAAGCACTTGCCACTGGGGGTGGGCTTTGAGAGAGTGTAGCTTGAACATTTCTTGTCTGTCTCTCTTGCTTCCTGTGCCTGCTTGAAGGTGTGAGCAGTGGGTTTTCTGCGCTTCCTGCCACGCCTCCCTGCGGCGATGGATTCTTATCTCTCTGGAATCAGAGGCCCAATAAACTCTTCCTTATGTAAGGTGCCTTGGCCGTGATGTTTTATCACAACAAAAAGTGTTAACTAATACAACATCTGAAACCCAGTGAATTGTTCTGCGCTGATGGGGCCTCCACAGTTAACTCTTGCTTTCTTGCTTGGCTTTTATTCAGTTCTCACCACATCGTTGGAAGAATTCCCAACAAAGGCAAGCACTGCTAACCACGCAGAGCGCGCCCCCCCCAACCCCCGGTCTCCAAGGTCACCTTAACTTCCCTCTGTGTTAAAGATCAAACCCCAGGGTCTCACATGGAAGACAGGCAGTTTATCAATTATCAATGAGCTCCAGCCTTTATCTTTTTTTTCTTTTTTTTTTTTGAGACAAAGTCCCTGTTGGCCCAGCTGGCCTGGAACTCACTATGTAGACCAGGCTGGCCTTGTTCTCACAGAGATCTGCCTGCCTCTGCCTCCCGAATGTTGGGATTAATGGCATGTGCCACCACGCCCAGCTTCCCACCCCTTATCTTAACCATGTTTTAGTATGCAGTCAAGCAGCATCAAGTACTGTTCTAAACTACTATCACCAGCATCCATCTGAGAACTTTCTCATCATCCCAAACTGAGCTTCTGGCTATTGAACACTAACTCCACATTGCCCTTTGACCCCACCAGACTCTTACCCACTATTCTCTCTATTTGTATGAATTTGACTATTCTGGGTACTCCATGTGTGTGAAATTAAACAATATTTTGTTCTTTGTATTTGGCTTATTTTGCTTAGTATGTGTGATCTTTTCTAAAACTACTATTTTTCTAGAACTCTATTTTTAACATTTTTATTATTTTTATTTTATGTGTATGAGTGTATCTGCATGTATATAAGTGCACCTGTGTTGTGCAGTGCCCACAGAGGTCAGAAGAGGCTGTCAGATCCCCCAGAACTGGGATTACTGTGGTTGTTAGCTGCCATTTGGGTGCTGGGATTCAAACCCGGGTCCTCTGCAAGAGCAGCCAGTGCTCTTAACCACTGAGCCATCTCTCTAGTCCCCTAGAACTGCATTTTTTGTTGTTGTTTTATGTAAAGGGATCAGCCTCACTGGATTTATCCTATGGACAGCTTTCATGGCAGAATGTTTGTGTTAAGTTCCAGAACTTCAGAATCTGATGTCTCTGTGACTAGCTGCCCTCAGCCTTGGCCCTCTGTTCAAACCCCGATGGTCTCTGCACAGTCTCTCCATCTGCTCTTTACTCAGTCTGTGAGTGTACGTGTGCAGATACACACATCAAAAGTGCTACATATATAAACTTAATAAATTATAAATGATGCAGATTTAGATTTATATACAGATCTAAGTAAGCAAGTAAGAAAGCAAGCAAGCAAGCTAGGATTTTCTCTGAAACAAAAAGAAAATCTTAGGCCTAACTAAGGTTTCCTTTATTCTTTGAGATTGTAGGGGTAACTTCTTCAAAGCTTAACCAGCCTCTTTCTCGCCAGCTTTACAGCAGGACTGCTGTTCGTAAGGTCCATCTATTTGACATGCAAACATCAAGGACAAAGCACTCATATCCCCTTGTGCCCTTGGAGTTTAACCTAGGCCCCTAGCTCCAGGCTGTACTTGCTTGCCTCAGAGACTTAAGATGCTTTATTTTCCCTTTGGATAAAGGCAGCTAATACAGGTGGCCAGGCCAATTACCAGGAGAATTTAGAATGAACTCTGTGTGACAAACCATATTTCCAAGTTTCCTTACTTAATGAAGAGTTACAGTTTAGCTTGGGATCATGTATATGGTAGGTTGTATCTGCCTGTAAGTAATAATTACTGATTTGGATTGATGGGTGGAATGACCTATATGTTGGGTTCTCCTTAATGCTTACAACAGTAAGACTTTGACATTAAATAATGGGCTTCAATTCACTGCCTAAACTTCACTGGGTTACATTTTTATAATCCATAGATACATCCTGTCACTCCCAGATGCCTTTCTCTGCTTCACTTTCCTCTCTGGTAATATCACTTTCTTGGGTATGATGTTGATTTATCCATTTTATTGTCTGAATCCCCCAGGTGGGATGGGAACCCCAGGGTAGGGCCTTGGAGCTCTATAAATAATGATAAGGGATAAAATCTTTAATGAGTTTGGGTTTAGTGCATGGCCTTTGCTACAGAAATGTTGCTCCCTGGGGCCTTCTCCCTCACACTTGAGTTGCCAACTGCGCTCTAGTCTTTCCTCATATCTAAGTAGATGACGATTGAGGTATTAAGGCTGTCTCGCCCCATACCGAGCCATGCCTCAGAATCATTGTGTCCTTATAGATCACCTTTGGGCCAATCAACATGGAGCCTGTGCTGACTAGAAAGGTAGGTGTGAGCCAGAACCTACTGACCTGCTATCTGGAGCACAAACTCCTTCTTCTGGACCAGCAGGGGGTTCTGGATGGAGCAAGACACATTGCTATGGGCTCCTTCCCGGACAGTCACAGATGTTTCCAGACTGAACAGGCCCTGAACATTCTGGATGATGGCTTCAGACTCTGGAGGCAGGCATTGCCCCTGGTGGTTTCTCCACTGAACCTTAGGCTTGGGGTACCAGCCACTGGAGCTGCATCGTAACTGAATGCCTCCTTCCTTGAAGCCCTCAAGGGAGATGAGTGGGTCTGAACCCAGACCTGGGAAAACAGGAGGTATGAGAAAAATCAGGCTCTTTCCAGACACTGCATGAAGTTAATGCCACTGTTCACCATTTGAGGTCACCATAAGATGTCAGAAACTGTGACTGCTCTTAATGTGTGCGTGGGCTTGCAGCACCCCGACTATAAACTTATAGTGACAGTTTAAGTTTGGCAGGGGTAGTAGTGCTGAGGGACATATGTAACTGCAAAGGAGGTCTATATGTGCCTAGTTATATCATGGAAGAGATAGTCCTGTTAGAATAAAGAAGTGTCTCACCCCAAACTCCAATAGATTGTCCTCTGTTGGTTCTCACTAGAGATCAACTGACTGTAGTACACGCAGTCCTTTCTTTCCCATTCAAACGGAGCTAACTCCATCATCTATCACTTGTCATTGAACTATCGATTTCTGTGCTAGGGGTCAAACCCAGGGTCTTGTTCAGGCTAGGTAAGCATTCTATCACTTAGCTATATGATACCTAGCCATAGGTTTTAAACTTTCAAAACACTGATACACTTTAAATGCCAATGTTGTATAAAGTACGTATCAGGAAGGCCCCTGGCCTTTCTCCTTTCTTTCATTCCTTGCATTCTCCCTGCTTAGGCAATCAATTTCTATTGGTTTCTAGTTTATTGGTCTTATGTTTCTTTCTGCATTGTTCCTCTTTATTTTTTATACATAAAAATATACATTGGGGGCTAGAGGAATGGCTCAGTGATTAAGAGCACTAGCTGCTCTTACAGAGGACCTGGGTTCAGTTCCCAGCACCTACATGGCAGCAAACAACCAACTGTAACCCTAGTTCCAGGGGATCTAATGCCCTCTTCTGGCTTCTGTGTGCATTGCACATCATCAGTGCGCTTACCTGCAGGCAAAACACTCATACACACAAAATAAATTAAATAAAATTTTAAAATATTCATTAAACTTTGCATTTTGGCTTTTCTCTTGCTAATAGATTCTAGAAATTATTTCACATCTGTTCATCGAGCTCATTTATCTAATTTTTTTTTTTTTTTTTTTTTTTTGTCTTTTGAGACAGGGTCTCCCTGTAGCCCCAGCTGTCCTGGAACTCACTATGTAGACCAGGCTGGCCTTGAACTCACAGAGATCCACCTGCCTCTGCCTCGCAAGTGCTGGGACTAAAGGTGAGCGCCACCACGCCCGGCTCTTTCTGGATTTTTTTAAAAACTTTTTTTCCTGGGGCTGGAAAGATGGCTCAGCAGTTAAGAACACTGACTGCTTTTGTGGAGGACCAGGGTTTGATTCCCAGCACCCACATGGTGACTGACAACCACCTGTAACTCCAGTTCCAGGGGAATCCGACACCTTCTTCTGACCTCCACGGGCATTGCACGACACAGGTGTACTTACACACATACAGGCAATGCACTCATATACATAAAATAAAAATAATAAATAAAATATTTTTTTAAAAAAACTTTTTTTCCTGGTACCAGGGATCAAACCCAGTGCCATGTGCATGCTAGGTAGGCCCTGCATCTCTGAAATATCCCTTCAGGCTCCCTCAATGTTTTAACATTTTTTTTATTTTTAAAAAGCCATTTATTTAAGTGTCCTTTTTTTTTTTTATTGTTGTTTTGAGATAGGGTCTCCCTGTAGCCCCAGTTGGCCTGGAGCTCACTATGTAGACCAGGATGGCCTTGATCTCACAGACATCCACTTGTCTCTGCTTCCTGAGTACTGGGACTAAAGGTGTGCTGGGACTAAAGGCATGCACCACCACACCCAACTCTAAAGTGTCCATTTATATTTAATTTTTTGTTGAATTTTTGAGAATTTCATAGAATATATTTTGATCATATGCAGACACCCATCCACTATCTGCACCCCACTGAATACCCCCCACCCAATTTCACATCTGCTATCATTTTTAAGGCCTTTAGAGTCTAATTTGTGTCCCCAGATGCCCTTCACTGTGGGTCTAGTCCATTTGTTTTTCAATTAGAGATATTCTCTGTGACTGTTGAGTATAAAGCAGCTCTCTCCAGTCTGATCCTTTCCCCAGTGTCCTGCTCCTCATTGGTCAGGGGACGCACCTGCTACCTCCAGCTCCCAGAAGGCTTCACCTGAGAAGTCAGGGGAAAGAAAGCGGCACCCATATGGGCCCTCATCAGAGGGAACAATGTTGAAGAGGTGCAGAGCCACGCTGCCATCCCTGATCTCCTGCGCATCGAACTTGGTTCTGTTCTGGAACTCTGGCATCTGCCTGTTGGAGAGCTCCTGTCGCTCCTGGTACAGGTACACGATGTCAGAGGCCTGGCTCCGGAACCAGCTGATCTCCATGTGCTCTGCATCCTGGTGTGGTGACAGGTGGCATGGGAACTCTACCACTTCCCCGACGAGGGCCAGCATCGATTCTCCAGGGCCCAGGACCTTTACCTCCTCTAAGATGACAAGTCAGAACAAAGGCCAAAGTCAACTCACTTCAAATAGAATTAAAAAAAAAAACCACTTCCCTTTGCAAATCAGAAATCTACAGCAAATTATTCAACTGACAAAGATAAGGTGCTCTCCAAGGACAGCCTGAGTGGTTTCCTGAAAACAAAAACTGTCAAGAAAAAAGTGAGTGTACGATTCAAAACACATGTGGGATGTTACAACGAGATATAACATGTGTGCACTACTGAAAGGGATTATCAGTTTGAATCAATCAGGTGCAAATGTTATTTGGGGAGGTATGTAAATATAGCCCAGGCAGTAAGTTAAATCCAATATTTGACCAAAAGAAGGGCAACTTTCTAAAACATTTATACCCCTGATCTTGAATTACAAGTTTTAGTAAATACAGAGAAAAAGATCTTGAAGGGGAGAAGCTAGATTGCTGATGGTGGTGATTTCTGCACTGTAGAAAAAGGCATTTGCCTTTTCTCAGTTTTCACAGCTTTCAGCAACAGAACACATACAGCTTCTATGAAGACAAAAACCTCAAAGCATGATCTATGGGTAACTCCACTCCATGTTTGGTGAAGTCTAGAAACCTACCAAATTCTGCTGTTGAGATTTATCACGAGACTCATTTCTCTTCTTCCATGACATCTCTAGGTGGTCTTTTCTCTCCCCAGGTTAGTCTGTTTCCTCCTTTCCAAATTTAGCTAAACCTTCTTCCCAAAGCTCAAGCTCCCCATCCTTCCCTTTCTCTGTAGATCATGGAAGGCTCTTATTTGGGACAAAGCTTTTTGCCCACTGGATGAATCCCAGTCAATCCCCCAACACCTTCCTACCAAGTACCCTCTCCAGGGTCTCATCAACTGTCTTTCCTGCACACCTGACATCCCCCCTCCTCTCACTCCCTCTCTGTGTCTGTCTGTCTCTATGTCTGTCTCTGACTCCCTCCCTCCCTCGCTCCCTCCCTCCCTCCCCACTCTCTGCCTCTGAATATACCCTGCCTCAATTTAATCTCCGCCGATTGTCTCCCTGAGGAAGGTGCACTTTGCAAAGCTTTTCAGGGAAAGAGAATTGCTCTTAGCGGTGCTTATCTTTGCTCCCAAGTCTCTGGACATTGTTTTCTTGCAACTGTTCATGTCATGTTCATTCTGCTCTGTGATCAAGAACTGCTTTAGGACCTGTGATATGCCTCAGTCACCTAATATTCCAGTCTAAGACATTAGAGAATTTTATTTGCATAATTAATTTCCATTCTGTGTTAGCTACTTCTTTTGTGAGCGATGATAGGATGTAAAGACCAGGTACCCTTCAAAAGACACACAGGCATAGAATTTAAAATGCTTACCACCCAGATCAGCACACAGACCAAGTACAGCTTCCTGGTGCCCTATGCTATGCCTATCCTGGGAAGTGTGTAGGGGTAGCTGGGCCTGGCAGAATGGCGGAGGAGCATGGAGGGGTTGAATAGTGCTCAGAACTAAGTGGCTGTTTAAGAACTAAGATAGAAATGGGGAATGGTGATGTACAGCTAGAACACAGCACTGAGGAGATGGAGGCAGGATTATGAGTCCCAGGTCATGCTTGGCTGCATAGTGAGAACCTGTCACAAAAACACAACAAAGCAAAACAACAAAAGAATAGCAAAACTCAAAAGAAAAAAGATCAGGATGGAAATCTTTCTTCACTTTAGCAACTGGCATAGTCTAGTCCTGTGTCGGGAGATCGCAGTCCTGGGGGCACCTGGCAGAAGACAAGGGCAGAGCCGCAGGGCTGGCAATCTGCCTGGCGGGGCTGAGTATAGGTACAGCCCAGACACTACCTGCGTTCCCCTCCCCTGGCTGAAGGAGGAGGAGAAGGTGAGTGAGGAAGAAGACACTGCTGCACCACGGTACTTGCTTCAAAAATCCCAGGGATACTGAGAAATCCGCCATTGGTCATCAGCAGTGAGGCTCACCTAGAAAGGAATGAAGATGCTGGGTGATGTGGGCAGTGAGGCTCAGCTCAGCAAGTCTGAGATCTGCTGTTGCCGGCCCCAGTACCCTGCTTCTTTCAAACCATGACAGGATGTGAGAACTGCTTCTAATTTTACCAGGTAATGCTGTTACCATTGGGCTTGTTGGAACTTGTGGAGCTGTGAGTGGACAGGACTGAAGGGTCCCAGAGGAAGCCAAGTATTGTTTAGAGCCAAGAATGGAGTCATACATTGTGTGGGGCTCAGTGTCACCCTCCTCTGGGTTAGTGACACTCCCCCAAAGAAAGGGAAATCTCTAAAGAATCTTTCTCATGGCTCCTGACCACTTGTGTATGCTCCTCTTTGCCCTAGAACATCAGGTTCATAAAACAGAGGAACAGGGAGTTTTGTTCTTTCCAAAACAGGCTGCCTGCCAAGTCCAAAGACATTCTGGGATACTTTCCTCCAGTCCTGATACCTTGGGGGGTGCCTCCAGGGGTTCAGCCAGTCCCTGTTCTTGTGTTTACAGCATCCTTAGTCCCCAGCAATGGAAGGTGACCATCTCACCATCTCTTCTCCCTCGTGTGGTCTACAGGACTCAGACTCAGCCCACATAAGGACTGTGTCGCTAGCTCTAACTCCCCCTTGGGCTCTTAATATTTAATTCTAGCAACCAATGAGTCTGGTGTGATCAAGACATCTTGGAGTGCGCAGTGTCTCCACATGTTGCCTCCATTTAATTCTAGGATTTTAGGCGTATTTTATAACTGATTGAAGCTCAGTCTCTGTGCTTGAGCAATGGAAGGAACCAATGTCAAGGAAAGAGTTTGTTAAGCTTCCTGTGGGTTGACAAAATGCTCTTTAACCTTAATGTACACCTATCTCAGCTGAGGCAAAAGGATCAGAGGTGTAAACATAGCCTGGGCTACATAGTGAGCCCCTGTCTTAAACATACAAATAAATGAATACTCTGTAAGCACTCTGCCTCCTCTCTCCACTTTCCAAACATCTGTTCTCTCTCTTCTTCCAGAAACTACACTCTCTTTTTTGACTCCATTACAGCATTCACCTCTGTGGAGGCAGGTATGTTCAACAGATTTCTACTCTCCAGCCCAATTCAGTTTTCTACTCAGTTTTGACGTCATGTTCCTCACCACTTGGTTTTCCTTCTGCTGACTCTCACATGACCCATGCTTCTGCAGAGCCACAGTCACACTGTCAGCAAGACCACGGGCAAGGTGCAGATGAAGGACTAAAAAGTCGCTGGCTTGCACAATAGAGCATCCTTCAGAAGGGATGTGAAGTTGGTGAGGGGGTCTCAGAGTAATCCTTAGGTTGGGAAGGGCCCAGGCTGATAGGAATACAATGTCAAAGAGGGAGGGGCAATGGTCTGAGAGTTGAGTATGCCTAGTAGCAGGGCTTTGCAGCTTAGACTAAGGGATTATGGAGGGAAGGCAGAGGAGCAAGTTGGGGCTACTCCATTTATGACCCAGATGGATTCTCCAGAGGAGGTGGTCAGAGACCCCTCTGCAGCCAACCTGGCTGTCTTGATAGCCAGCAGCTACTGGGTTTATTATTTGTATAATAACTAGAATGACAGAGGTCCTGGCAGGGGTCACAGGACAATACAGCCTCCTGTCTACTGTGACTGGTACCAGGAATGTCTGTGTCTGGGACAGGTCTAGAAACTGGCAGCAAAGTATCAGAAGTCACAGTGGCTTTACATTTTCTCACTTTCCTTCTTGTCTGTTCATCTCTTTTGTGCCTTGGTCTTGTGGACTAGACAGCTTAGAGCCCCCAAGAGAGCAAAGCCACTTGGGGTACATCAGTAGCCAGCTAATACCTTGCAAAGTACAAGGGGCCGAAGCTGTATTTAAGGATCCATTTGGATGGACAACCATAGGGGGAATAGTCATTTATATTAAATGGTAATATGGGTCCTCCAATAAGGGGATGGGAGTGCCTTAGACAGAGAGCCTAATGAGTCCTTGCCCTAGTTTGCCTAGAAAGGGAGGCTATTGTCTCCTAGGGGGCAAGCAAGTGGTAGAGAATGTTACAGAAACTTGCTAGAGGCTCCACAACTGTCTATTGTGATACACCCACATGATATCTATCAGTGAGGCTACAAAGAAAGATTGAAAATGCACAACACACACACATGCACACACACACACATGCACATACACACACAGAGGCACTCATGTATGCATGCCACAGCAACAAATACTAACACCAATTGAGCACTTACTGTCAACCACTCACCTACACCACAAGTATTATTACTACTTTTACAGATAGGAAATCTGAGGCACAGGGGGCACTTTCCATACAGCTAGTGTGTGGCAAAGTGACGTTTTCACTTAAACTGTTGTTTCCAGAGCATTGATCTGCATTTCTCTCATACAGATGCCAGCTGTGCTGTGCGCCATGTGGCTACACCTTTCATTCATGTCAGTAACCCTAGATCATAACACTGTTAAGGAGCTACTCCGTCTCAAGCAATGTGATGCCCATCTGTCTTACAGATGCTGTAACAAAGAGACTGGGTCACGAGAAAAACCTATCCACCAATGAATATAACTTTAAAACCGGATAAGTCCTTCCACCTTAGGATTTAAACCAATGTGTCCCTGACTTTTACCAGCATCTTCTCAGAGAGGAGGCACAGGTGCCCAGTCTCTTTGTTCAATATTCAAAAAACATCTCCTGGATTGCCTTTAGTTGGAAGTCAGTGGTCTGCTAATTTTCTGAAGGGAATTGGAGAGACTTTCCTAAAATGACTTCATGCTGCCCTCCTCGCCACCTGCTGCCTGAAGGCCCCTCTCCAACCTCACCTCTAGTTTAATGATCTGATTCTTAATAAAGAGCAGCTGCCCCCTAGAAGGAAACACTTTCTAGTTTCCACCATCAACACCGCTATTGAAACGGATTCCAGATTCTAGTCCTAGTGAGGGAGTCTGACTGGAGAAAGGAAGAAGCTGGACATGTTGGATTTGGGGGTGAGGTGGAGTCTCCTTGAAGGGGCCTCAGACTGGGCTAAGTTGTGCAGATGGGGGCCACATTTTCTTTGCTATGCTAGGCTGTTCCTTTCTGAAGACAGAAGGAAAAGGGGGCCGTGCATACTGAACTACTGTTGTGCTCTGCCCAGGGGAAGCCCACCTCCCACTCCTCCTTCCTTGCCTTCTCCTTTCTCTGATAGCCCTCTCCATCCCCCCCCCAGCTTGTATCTCCAGTTCCTAAAATTACCCAGTATGTCTTGGCTTCCAGTCCGTCAGCTTATGAGTCCCTCTTTAAAGATTATTATATATTACTTTGCTATTTTTGCAAAAGGGACTTTTGTACTTCCCTCCCCTCTCCCACTCCAGCACCCACTGCAGAGCTTTACCCTCCAGAAGCCACCAGTTACTATTGCTCACTGGTCTATACTGCTGTGATTTCACTAGGCCCATAAAAAGGTTCCACCCTCTTCATCTCTAAGGGAGATGAGCCATTTTAAGAAGGGAGCCTCAGAATAAAAAAAACCAACCCTTCTCATGAAAGGGGATGCATCAAATCCTGCCTCCTTAGAGGTGCCAGCTTGAATGGGCATTTTCCCTTAGCCACACTCAAAACACCTCATCCAGTCACCAGGCTCAGGTGATAAGAGCTGCCCTCTGTGAAATGTTCACCCAGGGTCTCTCTCTGTCATTTTTTTTTCTTTGTTTCCAAAAAGAGGTTCAGGTAGGTGTTGAGGAAGAGCCACATACCTTTCAGGTGGCAGCAAAGGGTCCAAGTGACAGATGAATGCTGGTGAACTCACCTCCCTGCAAAGGGGACAGTTGTGAAGTATGTTAGTCCCTGATGCTAAGACCCTTTAGACATGGGCTGGCAGCTGAGCTAAGGTGGGTGGGGGAAGCAGATCATTGGTGACACAATTACTCACCCACCTTCCACCTTAGGACATAAGCTATTGGCTCTACCCTTTGGTATAAAATCCAAGATGGACAGAACAAAACGAGGAAGTCTCTGTCATATCCTGTCTCTGTAGGGACAACCACAAGTTAAATTCCCATGGAAAATGTCCCTCCAGGGTCTTAAGAAAGAGGGCAAAGGTATCTGAGAGCTTTGTTGGAACAGACTTCAACTATAGAGGCTGAGTGGGGAGAGGATGTCCAAGCTGGGCAGTCAAGATCTCTGGGTAGGTCAAGCTGGAGTTCCAGGGTGGCAGGATGGCTGTCCCTGGCCAGTCTCTCTCTTTGACCAGTCACGTGAAAGAGACAGAGACTGGACTGCAATCTCCCCTGAAAGCTGGGGAAGTGCTTGTGCCCAGCTCCTACTTAAATTACCATGTCCTTCACTGAAGAGAAAGGTTGGCCAGGAAATAGCCTGGGAACACTGCCATAAGCTGAACCTGTAAGAACTGTCTACGTGCAGTTTGGAAACAGAGTGGGAAACCATATGAGGATTTCTTTAGTGGAGCAGAGCTCAATATAGACGATGTAAGCGTAGAGCAGTGGACCCAATTCCAGCGGCAGGCTGCACTACACTCTGATATCCTCTTTAGGGGGCAGGCGCAGGGCAGATCAAGCATATGCTGGACACCCCCAGAGACTCCCAGAAATGCCTGATGCTTAAAGAGAAGCCAGGAATTGACATATATGTAGACAGAAGCAAGAACCAGTAAGCAGGCTGGTGAGATGGCTCAGCAGGTTAGGGCATTTGCTGCCAGGCATGATAACCTGAGTTCCAATCTCTACATGCAATCCCCAAACACACACACACACACACACACACACACACACACACACACACACACACACACAGAGGCATGCAAACACAAACAGACGAATGAACAGTCCTTCTGCCTCAACCTTAAAGAAAAATGAACCAGCAAGCTATGGGGAACAGGGAACCAACCTGAGTGTATATGTATTCAGACAGGCTAGTGAGGTAGGAAATTAAGGCTTATTTATGTATAACAGAGTCCCTCAGGCAGCAACA